TCAAAGAATATTGTGATACATATTGTAAAACAAGATAAATTAACTGTAAAGAGGTTTCACAGCAATCTGTTTTGGTTTGGATGGTCGTCTTATGCAATGGCAAAAGTGTGTGAGAGCAAACTGCCTTGTATACAGCATATATGGGGTAAGAGCAGACGGCTGGTTTTCTCAGTCTACTGCTCACAGTCTACACAACACACCTGAGACGTGTACGTGTGTGTGTATGTGTGTATGTGCGCGCGAAGAGAGCCAAGCTTATTCTTTCCAATGCAGTTCTAAGTTTAATAATGCTTGTAATTGGAATGGATGGGTGCAGAAGAGCTCTGCTAGGACTGTGAAGATAATGTGAGTAAGTGAGAGCACTATTGGCTGCTTTCCACAAGGTTCCACAAGGCTTTTCCATTTGACATCATGGCAAAATAACATTTACAGGTGTATCAGTGGAATCTCAAACAGAAAGAGATAAATAGAGATAAGAGAGAGAGTAGATAAACAGAGTTTTAACAACAGAGAATTAATAAAGAGTTCCTTGACATTACATACACATACCATTAATCATGCAATTCCATAACTGATGTTCATATATCATTATGGCATCACTGTGAAACCCCCTTTTGGAACCTTTACATTTACATTCATGCATTTAGCAGAAGCTTTTATACAAAGGAACAAAGAGGAACAAAGCAATTGGTCAAAGAGCTAACAATATGCAATAGGCCTACAATGCCTGGCTTATTATACAACTAGAATAAGAGGCTTTTATTTTTAAAAGTGCAAAGCTGTTGTTGTTTTCCATGTCTTCTGCAATGCCAGAAATCACACCATATCAGGATGCAGCAGGATGAAACCAAGCTTGAAATGGAAAAAAACACCACAGAACTATACCGTTTTCCTGCATTAACCCAACCCAGATAAAAGAATGCTGAAATTGGCTCCCCACAGGCCACCTTTGCTTATGAAAGAGAACAAGGTCTGATGGCTTTTATGATAAATATCTTTAAAGAGATAAATAACGAGCAAAGCTGCTCCCACAGAGGACTGGAAACACTTCACTGCTGTGATCACTCAGTAAAACTCCTGCTCAGGGATATTAATGAGAGAAATGAGGAGTGACAGAGGAGACTGAGGAAAGAGAGGCTGGTTATAAGATGAGATCTGTAGATCCGGAGTCTCTTTTCCCTGTCCTTAGGCAAATCACTTTCATTTACTGCAAAGGGCTTTCTAGAAAGACTGTCTGAAATCTGCCACAAGAAGCTTTTTGGGTAAGGTAATGGTGCGTTTTGTAGTGATTGCCTTTCGATTAGAGAGCATTTAATGCTGCAGCTGTGTCTCAACATTATATCCAATGGCTGTGAAATTCAGAGATAATCCCTGTGAAATGAGCTGGAACATGGAAATTCAGCAGCTTATGGAGTCTAATGAGTGGTGTGGCCTCTTTGTCTATTAAAATGAATGATGACCTCACCACAGTGCTTTGATTTTCTTCCTCTTGTTTGATGCACTGAAGACACCCATCTTTTCCCTCAGAGAAAACCATTATAAGGTAGAACCCAGCATTTATTTTTAATCTGAGATGTTCACCCAACAATAAAAATTTGCTGTTAGTTTCTTCATCAGATTTGGAGAAATGTAGCATTGCATCACTTGCTCAGCAATGGATGCTCTGCAGTGAATGGGTGCCGTCAGAATGAGAGTCCAAAAAGCTGATAAAAACATCACAATAATCCACAAGTAATCCACACCACTCCAGTACATCAGTTAATGTCTTGTGAAACGAAAAGCTGCATGTTTGCAAGAAACAAATTCATCATTAATCATCATAATACTTTCTCCAGTGAAAAAGTCATCTCGTCTGAATCAGGAGAGAAATATGCACAGATCAAGTAAAATCAGTCCAAAACAGTTCTAAACTTGGTGATTTTGATGTGAGAGACAATAGGGAATGGACTTTTTCCACTGGAAAAAAAGTGATATTATGGATTATGGACTCATGTTTTGGCCATAAGTGACAGTTTAAAGTTAAAACACGCACTTTCACTTCACAAGACATTAACTGATGGACTGGAGTGGTGTGGATTACTTCTGGATTATTGTGATGTTTTTTTTTTTAGCAAATTGTCATTTTTGTGTGAACTATTCCTTTCATTTGCTTTTATATAGATAGAAGAGGAGCAAATCATTTCTAAGCAGTGCTCTATTCTCAGTCTATTTGGCAACTCTTGGTCTAGCATACTGTTCAGTGATACATGACAACCATCATTCCCTTCTTTTATGAATACACACAAAATAAACCAAGATTTTTCAAGCTGAGTGTTTATTTCTACTGGTAACAGTGAACAGTAATATTGCACATACTGCAAGCCAGTTAAAATGCACATTTTTTAGTTAGTAAACACTCAGGCACTTCAAGCTAGAGATCATTAGCTTTACATCTACTGTGCAGACTGAAGTAAGCAAAGCGTACACAAAATATTAGCATAGTTTGTTGATTTAGGAATGTGAAATTGTGTTTGGTCTATATTGAAGAAAGTAAACTTAATTACTAATACTACAAATATAGCTGCTAATAAAATACATTTCCCTTTCTGGAGGATCATCGCTGTGACGTCGCTGTGCTTTTCTCTTAACAAAAGTTAAGAGAGTTTATTTGAGATTATTTTAAAGTTCTTTTTTTTATATTAATTCATGAATACCATTGACTAAATCTCAGCTACAGCATTCATTGCACTATGGTTAGAAAATGCTCTGTTATATTGATATCTTAAGTTAGACATTCATTTCTTAAACTAAGTTAGATACACTACATGGCCAAAGGCACTGATGTTGGGTGAAGGGGTCTGGAAAAGTTGTTTTTAGTGGGGTTCACGTCTGGGCTTTGTGCAGGACTGTCAAAGTCTTCCCCACCAGACTAAGTAAACCATATATGGACCCTGTTTTGGGCACCACCACTTCTCTAGACGGGCATTATGGTGTAGCATTGAAATTTGTCTTTACTGGAGTTACTGGAATAGCAAAATCCATTAATTAGAATGAGATGTTCACATACTTCTGGCCATATAATGTAGCAGAGTGTTACAAGTATGTAGACTGACAATGAAATTTCATTTTTGTTCTATGTCTTTGGTTAATAAATGAATTAAAATCTCTAATGCACTGTTTTAAACAATATAGATAAATATTGTCTCTCAAAATACAAATGAAAATACTTGGAGAGTACAAATAGAGGAATAATATCTTTACCACTATTCAAACATTTCTTACTGTAAAACTATGTGATATATGTTTGTCACAAACAATCACAATTTACACAGAGTCATAAATTCTAAAAACACAGCGTGTCAATACAGTACTTGGTACAATGGTACACACTTCAGTTAATCTTCATGACATAACAGCTAAGAAGTTATGCATTTGTGCAATCACACGGACGGTCCAGATGGCTCTTATAGATGGTGGTATATTACAGTATATTCTTAAACTTTTTTTATTGAGAATTCAGACCAGTTCTGGATTTTAAAGGAAATGTTCACAGTTGAAAAGTTATGCTCTATGTCCCTTAGTCTGTACAAAAATGTAAAAAAAAAATTTGTGTTTAAATTAATGCATTTACAGTGGATGTCTATGGGGCAAAAAAAAAAAAAAGTCAGTCTCTTATTTTTTTTAATAAAGTGCTATCTTATGATATTTGAACTGCAGGTTTCTTTATCGTAATTGTGACTGTGACTTTAATACAGTGAGGTAGTGATGTATTGCTACTCCAGTGCCTTGCCTGTTAAATTTCCACTGAGAGAGCAATACTGTAAGTACAATTTTTGTTTCTTTGTAGAAAGGGACAAATTGTTTTTATCATAGACACTGTCATAGAGCTTAACTCGAACTGAACCATGAACATTTCTTAAATGTACAGTTGTGCTGTATAGTATAATATTTCCTGTTAAAATAAAGGGTAACACTCTACAACAAGGTTTCATCACTTGAGTTAATGCACTGAATACTGAATAATTGAAAACGGACAGTTGAAGTATTAGAAAATAATGCACACCCAAGGTGGTTATGTAAGGACTGTAAGTTTAATGGCTTCAAGAACAGCAACGCTACCATCTCACTACTAAGAAATGTCATGCAGCTTTTCAGTTTTCAGCGTGGGAGAAACATGTAAATAGTTTGTAATCTTTATCTTACTGTTTAATATATTTATCTGTTTGGTCAGTGTTGTTGTGTGATTTTGTTTTTTTGTTGTTGTAGGCTGTAAGAACTTTTGAAATAACTGAAATCATTTGACAACGTGATATGGACATGAAGTACCGTCAAGACCTGCTTGGAACTATTTTAGCTGTGGGTTTCAATGAAATAAACTGCACTCTAAAACATTCTTCAGCCAATCAGGATCGAGTATTTTACATTAAAGGGGTCATATGATGCTTTTTTAAAGATCATTATTTTGTGTATTTGGTGTAACAGAATATGTTGACATGCTTTAATGTTCAAAAAACATGCTCTCTCTTGCTCTCTAGCTCTCTCTCGCTCTCTCTCTCTCTCGTGCTCTCTCTCTCTCGCGCTCTCTATCTCTCTCTCTCTCTCGCTCTCTCTATCTCTCTCTCTCTCCCGCTCGCTCGCGCACACACACACACGATGGGCAAAACTCCGCATTTGAACAGTCAATAGCAAATACTTAAACTAATAACAAAAGAGTAGCTGATTCAGAAGCGCCAGATTGTCATAGCAAAGGAAAACTTGAAATCGCATCATATGCCCCCTTTACTTAATGAGCAAAATATTTGTAGTATTTTTTTATATAACATATATAATATACTGTTATAATATAACAGTATTTATTAATCTTTGTTAACCTTAGTTCATAAAAATACAACTGTTCATTGCTAATTCAAGTTAGCTCAGGTCCATTAAATAATTTTAGATGTATTAGTAAATATTAAAAATAACAAAGTAAGATTAAAATATGCATTAAGTATTTGGAAATGTCAGTTCATGTTAACAAATATAGTTAACCAGAAAGGGAACCTTATTGTAAAGTGTTACAATAGAAAGAACACAATAGACAGGAGACAAGAGAACAGGGGGAAGGGAAGAAGAGAGGATATATAATGTCATAGGCGGAAATCTGATCCTTCATTATGAAATTATAGCTTTAAGAGCTCACCACCTCTGCATTCTGGAATGTCCAGTTTCCTAGTGGAACATTCTAGAAATCCGAGAGTTTCATTATTCTAGAGCACCTCATTTGTCTAATACTCTAGAATGTCCAGCTGATACAATACTTCAAAACTTCTTCTCCATTTCCTATATTTCTACATAATTTACTAACATCTACTGAATTTCCAGCCCTGTGCACTCTATAAATCCTGTCCCAGTCTTTCTATCTCATCGATCAGGAAGTCAATGTCAGACCTGGTTACAGCCGGATTAGAGACAACCATTCTGAAGAAGTTGACCTTATCGCCTTGAGGCTGGTAGCCCACCATTGTTGTTCCACACTCCATCATCATTGCCTTGATCTTGGGGGCAACCTAGATATAATTCACAGGATGGAAGCTTAAGGTAACTGGCTAAATAAAATGAGTGGCATAAAATATGTGGCATATACGCATGTGTATTTGATCAGTTACATACGAGCAACTTATGTAAACTGAGAAGGAGTGAGTGTGAGTATCTACTTACCTTATGAAGTCGTTGTCTTTTCTCCTCTCCATCTGGCAGAAGCCGCAGGCTTGGAGGAATGTACCAGAAACACACATTAGTGTGTTGGGGCTAAGAAACGGACAGAAGGGCATCATTAAAAAGTTATGAAAGAAACCTTGTCTCTGAATAGTACTAGTATGTGAAGGACAGTGATAAACTCTATTGTGATTGTTTTCACTCACCTCCCCTTGAAATACCATCTCATATCCTTCTCGGTTCTTTATCTTGTGGTAGAGGTACTCAGACAGCTCCAGACATCTGTCAATGTGCTTCTCAAAGCCTATAGTGCCCTGTTAAAGATGACAGATCCATAACATCACAACTGATATTCTACACAAACATCTTTGTGCTGGATTAACATTGATTCTATGTTACAATACAGTAAACATACATCCACCATTCATCCATCCAACTGTTCATCCACCCACCCATCTCGCCATCTATCCATTCATCCACACATTCTTCCCTCCATTCATCCATTATCTATCCAACCAGTCATCCATCATCCACCCATTTGTCCATCATGCATTCATCTATTCAACCATCCATCATCCATCTAATTGTTCATCCATCTATCTATTCAACCAGTCATCAATTAATTCATTATCCATCCAAATTTCCGTCCATCCATCCCACCATCCATCCATCCATCCTTCCTTCCATTCATTAATCCATCCATCCATTCATCAACCATTAATTTATCCATCCATCCATTATTAATTCCAACTGTTAATCCATCCATCCACCCCTTCATACATACAACCATTCATCTTCCACCCATTTATCTATCATCCATTCAACTATTTAACCATCAATCATCCATCTAATTGTTCATCCATCTATCTATTCAACCAGTCATCAATTAATTCATCATCCATCCAACATTTCGTCCATCTATTCGTCCATCCATCCATCCATCCATCCATCCATCTATCCATTCTTCCTTCCATTCATGCATCCATCCACCCAATGCATTCATCACCCATCCATCCATCAACAATTCCAACAGTTCATCCAGCCATCTATCCACCCTTTCATACATACAACCATTCATCTTCCACCCGTTTATCCATAATCCATTCAACTATTCAACCATCCATCATCCATCTAATCGTTCATCCATCCATCTGTTCAACCAGTCATCAATCATTCAACTTTTCGTCCATCTGTCCATCCATCATTAATTCCAACTCTTTATCCATCCATCCATCCATCCATCCACAACTTCATAAATAAAACCGTTGATCTTCCACCCATTTATCCTTAATCTATTCAAATATTCAACCATCCATCTAATCTTCCGTCCATCCATCTATTAATCCATCAACCATCCAATTTTTCGTCTATCCATCCTTCCATCCATCCATCCAACCATTAATTTATCGATCGATTGATCGGTCCATCATCCATCCATCCTTCCTTCCTTCTTTCCTTTCATTCATTCATTCATTCATTCATTCATTCATCCATCCATCCATCCATCTAAACGTTCATGCATCCATCCACCCGATGCATTCATCCATCTATCCATCCATCCAACTGTTCATCCATCCATCCAAATTTTCGTCTATCCATCCTTCCATCCATCCATCCATCCACCCCTTCATACATACAACCATTCATCTTCCACCCATTTATCTATCATCCATTCAACTATTTAACCATCAATCATCCATCTAATTGTTCATCCATCTATCTATTCAACCAGTCATCAATTAATTCATCATCCATCCAACATTTCGTCCATCTATTCGTCCATCCATCCATCCATCCATCCAAAACAAATTGATGAAAAACCAATCAGATGGATATCTGATTTGTTTTTCATCACTGCATTAAAACCATGATTTCTGCATCCTGAATCCTTAATTCATGAGTAACACATTATCAAGCACTGAGGTTCTGATCTCATGGATGTGCACACACACCTTTGACTTCCACATGAGCCAGAATTTGAAGATGTCTACATGGCGGCCACACTGTATGGCCTTGTCCCCTGTGTCATAGGTGACATCATACTGCTTATCCGGCTGAAAGAGATATCCTGCACACATGGAGTTACAGCCCTGAAGAAGACCCTGAAAACACACACACACACACAGTGAGAGAGCAGGAACACTGAGTGGAGATGATCATAATAACATGTCAGCAAGCAGCTCTCTCTCTTTTGATTCTTTGTCTCTCTGCCTCTCTCTTCCTCTTGTTCTCACCCAGCTTTCTTTGCATTCTATTACTGAATTTTACTCTGTTCCATTGCTATTCAGACTAATTTATTTTGAAACCCCCATTTCTCCTTTTCTCTCTTACCTTCTCTCGGACCAGAATAGCGGAGCACTGTAGTGGAACGCCCATCATCTTGTGTGGGTTCCATGTGACAGAGTTTGCTCTGCAGAAACAACACTGATCAGAACACGCTGTTCACACATGTGTAGTTGGTTATAGAGATAAGAACATAGTAGAGTATGTGCTTAGCAGGTGCATAGCGACTATTATAACATTTGAAATTTGAAGTCTCCCCCACTTTTGGAAAATCATTGTATTTTAGTTTTATGTTGTGTGTCAGCAGTGTGAATATAACTACATGCTCTGCATGAACTAAATGTTTTTGAACAAAAAAAAATGCATGTTAACGGCAATTAACTTAAACATAAACATAAAACACAAAATATTTAATTTGACATTATTTCAAAAGTGCAGTCTTTAAAAGAGTCTTAAGTGGGTTAAGAAACAGCCATGTAAGTGTACACTCTTAAGTACACTTCAAGTGTCTGTTTATTTCATTAATATTATCTGCATGTACAGTTTAAAAAATATATAATTTTAAGAGTTGAAGTACACTACAAGTGGGCATTCAATACAATTAAGCTCACTTCTTTTTCACAAGGTTGAACAACAAAGTGTTAACCATTACTGCACACATAGCTTCTTCTTATCAAATTATGACTACTATGTGAATGTTATGTCACCCAAATACTACTCATGAAGCAAGCTGATAAGTTTTATAATATGTCTCTCCTCTTTTCAGACCAACCCTTTGCCCTTGGAGCGTAATTTATTTACCATACATACCTCTCTACGCCATTCAGCTTGTGTCTGTGTTTTCTAGACAGCAGCAAACCTCCACCCCATGCACCCTTAAAACACACATTCACACCATCAGTTTAAATGCACCTTATTCAGAGTGTTTCACCATAATCAGTCTGTTAAAGTGAATAATGAAATAAACACAAACGTACATCCACATGAAGCCAAATGTGGTATTTCTCACAGATGTCAGCGATCTCATTGATTGGATCAAAGGCTCCATACACTGTAGATCCAGCTGTAGCGTTCACAAACACTGGCACAAACCCCTGGACAGCAGAGACACAACAAAACCATTTCACCAGATAACATACACAAGAGTCGCTCAAAACGAAATCTTTCAAACTAAACTCATGAAATGCTTCTGAAACAAATATGGGCTTAAAGGAACCCCATTTATTTAAATCTTAATGAGCCAATACTGAGATACTATGTTCTGATGTCTTTTAGATACCTCATTCATAATAATGAATAGTGATATTAAAGAAATGTTGCCGTTTCAATACAGCTTTAGCTTTAGAAGTCCAATGTGCTTACAATCAAAGTCTGCAGTGCAAGAAATTAAAGGTGTGAAGGCAGGAATGTGCAGTTGGTATTTTGCTCAAGCACTAGTAATTCTTCCTTACAAAACTGTGTATAAAGAAAAATAGACGAAAACAGACCAACGTGATTATGCATTATTGTCTAAATGACTGTGTTTGAAGGTTTGCATGGTTGTGGCAGAAATTTCAAGACTGGATTCTAACTTTATACAAAGATGCAACACAATAGTCTCATATAATGTTGAAGTCTTTTGGGTAGAGTTGAAGAGTTTATTCTTGTGCACTGGAGACTCACCTTCTGTTTGGCATCAATGACTTTGGCCTCCAGATCAGCCGGAATCACTCTACCTCTAACAAAACACGCAAATGTTACAGACTTTTGTTGATGAGACAGTCCACAAACACACAGCACAGACACAGAGAGCCTCCACTTACCTCTCATCTGTCTTCAGCAAGATCAGATTCTCTGTGCCGAAACCCAGCACTGCACTGGCCTTCTTTATAGAGTAGTGACTCTGGGAACAACATGGCAACAGACTGGTAAGTGGTGGGGTTTGTACATTTATAATTACATTCAAAGCTTCAAAACTGACAGTCAAGACCCATAAAGAAGCACCAGCCAGCATAACTCTCACATCTCATTTGCATTTGCATACATTCAAATATGGTGCATCAAGACAGGTTTGACTTCACTGATCTGTCATGGAACCAAGATCGTTTTAATGCATGCAAATGAGACGTGAGAGATGCAGCAAAAGGAAAAGGCTTAGAGAGAATTGGTCTCACAAAAAGCTAGCATATGGTTTCAGAAGTCTTACAATATAATGCACAATTTTTTTTGTCAGTTTTGGAGTTTACTGCATTCATTGCATGAGAAAGAAACACCAAGCTATTCTGCAAAACATTTTCTTATGAGTTTAATGACACGGATGAGTAAATAATGACATAATTTTCATATTTTGTCCCATTTCTATTCTATGGGTTGACTTCAGAAACAGTTGATAGTAACAATGCACACTGAGTAATAACTTAAAAATATCGGGAATACTTTCAGGCTCAGCATCTAACAGCGTACCGAAGGAGAGCGAAGACAGAGAGCGAGTAAATGACCTACATGTTCAGAGGTGAACAGCACTAGTCTGGGAGCCGCTGCCATGCCTTTGATTTTAACCTCAGGGTAGTGTTTATACCGTGCCACCATCACGCTGTACATGTTTGAGATTGCTCCTCCTGCAAGAACACACATTATACCACATCAAATAGGTCTGTAAGTAGCCCTATAAATATCATATCTGATGCACATATTTCTAAGGCCTTTATCAACATAATCAAACGTTTGCTGTTGTACACAATCTACTACACACCTTCTTGTTTACATAAATGGCCATATAAATATCAGCAACTGCACCAAATTGCATATTTTTGTTTTTTTCTCCTTGAGTGTAAGCTCCATATTTTCCTAGATCACACTGTAGGACACAAAAGCCTGATGTATCTAGTGTAATGCTCAACACAAAACATATTTGCAAACTTTTTGAAATATTTCTTTATTTAATTTTTTTGTTTAGTTTAGTTCAATGTACTGTTTCAGTAAAAATTGATTTTTCTCACTATTTTTTTCATATATCAGGCTTTTAGTCTTAATATTGTGTAGTAATTATCTCAAGAACAGGCCGAAACATTCTCATTTGCCTTAAATTAACTGAATAACAAATAAATAATGAACAGTTCTTGAATATTCTGTTGCTGGATTATAGTGGGTCAAATTAATATTTGTGCATGCATGTATTTATAATTGCCAGCAAAAAAAATTATTAACATGGCAGCCCCATCCAATCTCGGCTTCTAATAAAGTTTCTTCCTTTTCCTATCTAAAACACTCTAAGGATTTTTTTTCCCTTGCAGTATTCATTGTAAAGCCTTGGAACATTTTGTATTACTACATCATAAAAAATGGGAACATCGAGAAAGAGCCACAGTTTGCTTTTTGGTTTGTGAATCTATTCACCCGCCAGTTCTTAAGAGGAAAACATTAGCCATTGATGTTTTATATTAACCATTATTCCAATTGTGCATCATTCTGTTGTTTACATGGCCACACCTGGTGAGAAAATGCCATCGCCCTCTCCATTTGGCCAGCCAATGATCTCTCGCATTTTCTTCAGGGTGAGCTGTTCCATCAGTACAAACACCGGTGCAATCTCATACGTGAACCTGTAAACACACACACACACACACCTCATTCCTACTTGTCCCACATTAATGAGTGTCCTGACAGCAGGAGGTAATTCACATCAGTCTGTTCAGTCCATCACTGAATCATTGTGATGAGAGGAACCCCGCTGGAGGCATCTTCAACCTATTAGCGCCAGTCAATAATCATCCACGGTGATTAGTAATGATGAGCAGCTCATTAGTACATGCAAATGTCAAGTGCTCATGCAGTTCTGTCTAATCAATATAAACAGTACTGACATATAATTTAGAGACAGCGTGAACCTGTGCAAACATGAGAAGGTGAAATCACATGCTGCGGAGCCCGGGGCTAGTTGTCACAGGTTTTCTAGTCAAAAGTCCAATTATAGTTGTGATTTCTCTAGCAGTAGTTTTATATTTTAGATTCAAACATCTAGTTCAAAACTTAAAAAGGTGTGCTTTTGTTTTTTTTTGTGCATTCTGTCTTCCAAATTACTTTTTTGTAATAGCTTTTGGGTAAATACAATAAAAACCACAGAGTCATACAGCACATTCAGACAAGAAGGTAGTTTTAAAAGCAGATTTGAATGTTATTTATTTATTTAAGAAATAAGAATCAATTTATAAAATAAATTACACCAGTTTGAATATCTTTCTTGATTTCTGTCGTTTTTTTTTTTTTTTAGTTGTATTTCGCTTCATAATTATTTTTTAACTTTATGTTTTGCTCAAATAAATGAAAAAAAAAATATAAATTCTGGACAATAATGATGAAAGTTTTCAACATATTTTTAGAATATTTACTGAAACAAAAAGTCAGACTATCCCTGGTATATACTTCCTTATTCCTTACATACAAACGTCTGTATATGATCACTCTAAAATACTTCATGAGGAGAACAAGACATTTTACAAGAGTTCTTGATCAGATTTGATGTCATTTTCTAAGAGTGTTAATTTGGTGTTTTATGACACCATCAGTTCTGTCATAAAACTGACTGCTGGCCATTATAAGCATTAAGCAGCAGTGTCACACAATACAGCCCCTAAAATCCAAAGGTGCAGTCATTTGGGAACGAGGGAAGTAAATCTGAGGACGTGGAGTAAATCTTTTATTGATCAAAGGAGAATTTGGGCATGGACTGTGAAAGACATCATAAAATCTCTGACCCTCAGAGGTCAAACAGGACCAGGGGACTCACTGCTGTTGTCCTTATATAAATGAAGAAGATCCCAACGGACCCGTAAAAATACTTTAAACTTCCTTTTAGTTTTATAATCTGACATCAGAGTCTTTAGACCAGACCATGCAGCCACATAGTTTTTAAAGGACTGGCACGGTTAGTTTTAGCATTCCTTATAACTTTAAGCTTAAAGGGATAGTTCACCCAAAAATTAAAATGTGATGTTTATCTGCTTACCCCCAGGGCATCCAAGATGTAGGTGACTTTGTTTCTTCAGTAGAACACAAACAAAGATTTTTAACTCTAACCGTTGCAGTCTGTCAGTCATATAATGGAAGTGAATGGGAATCACGGCTTTGAGAGTCAAAAAAACAAACACAAACAAAACCAAATTAAACCCTGCGGCTTGTGACGATACATTGATGTATAAAGACACGAAACGATCGGTCTGTGCAAGAAACTGAACAGTATTTATATCGTTTTTTTACCTCTGATGCACTGCAATGTCCGAACGGTCCTGAGCACGTCCTCGAGAGCCGGCACGTGAGGCGTCTTCTTCTTCTTCTTTCTTTACGGCAGATCGCAGACTTACAAGTGCATTACCGCCAACTATCTCTCAAATGGACCATTGACACTCCTAATTAAGATTGTAGATAGAGTGTCAATGGTCCATTTGAGAGATAGGTGGCAGTCGAGGACTTATAAGTCTGCG